AACACTAAACCCCATCATGGTGACACACATGATACTGAAATAATGCAATAAACATTCATTTAACAACATTAGGTGTAACACACAACCCTAATATACAAAACTGATAAGAAAAAAACTAAGAAACATAGTTATTTCAACAGGGAATGTCAATTTACGGTTATTCACTGTAAATTATACGGCCTTTTTTACTTCCAAAAATTTTACTACCGTAAAATTTATGTCCAATACATGTAATGTCCAATACAGTTTTTTCACCGTATATAGTAGGGGAATTTACCGTTAACCATTTAACAGGTTTTTACTGTAGCATTTTTACAGTTTTTTACCGTTAAATTCACGGTCATTTTTTACAGTGTGTCATTTCAACCAAAGATTCAAAATGTTTAATGTAAGTTTAAAAATACACTAAAGATCTAATGTTTTTTACTAATAATTTTCATGTAATTACACCAATATAACAAAATGTAGGAACATAACAGAAAAATGTACTTGCTTATTTTTGCTAAAACATTTAAATCATTTACACAGAAAAATTACTTTTGAATGATGGCTCGAATTAATTGTTGAATCAAATTGAATGAAATAATTGAAATGGACAGTGATTTCATTCCACGATTGAACTGATTCATGTAAATCAATCAAACTTTTATTACATTCAATTTTTAATTCGTATTAATTAAAGGTCATACAGTAATTTTTAAGTTTTTCCAATATGGTAATGAAATTTGGAAGAAAATGTGAGTAATTGTTATTTACGTGTTTTGTCAAAAATAAATAAATAAATAAACAAATAATAGTCATAAACATGGGCTTAAATTTCTTCCTCCTTTCTTTTGATTTTGGTGTGAAATATGGCCTGGCCTTGTACTTAACAGACTCCTTCTATTCTAATCTCATTCTAGAGATTACTGTTTATTATAAATCGGTTCAAGAGTTTCTCTGTTCTTACCATTGCGATTACTTTGATGTGCATGCTTTATAAAGCACATGGACATTATTACAGACATGCATTATAAAGCTAGACACCTCCACGTGTCTCCACAGAAAGAGATTCAAGCCATGAGCCAGTGTTACCATCCCAACGTGGTCACCTACTACACTTCATTTGTTGTGAAAGATGAACTTTGGCTGGTCATGAAGCTCCTGAGTGGAGGTGAGAAAAATAATTTCAATTAACTATGGACATGTTCATTTCAACATCATATGTGTTGTTTCATCACTTAAAATAAGCTTATTTTCTAAAATGTTTTGCCTGAGAAGTGTGCGTGTGCTTAATTTCTTTAAAATAATTATCACTTGATTTGGCATTTCATATAGTAATTCATATAGTTTGTATGTCTGAATACTATTTGCAGTCACTGTATGTGTTATATGCATGTATTATTTTGTAGATTTGAAGAATTTTGTGTGATTACAAACCTTTTTATTCATCCAGGATCAGTGTTAGACATCATAAAGCACTCATTCAGCAAAGGAGAGCATAAAAACGGTGTCCTAGATGAATCTACAATAGCAACCATATTGAAGGAAGTCCTGGAGGGATTAGATTATCTACACAAAAATGGACAGATTCACAGGTAAAGAAAAAAGGACAATAACAAATTGAACTGTGGCTGGTCAATTCGCATGCCTTTCAGACTGTCTCTCTCTGATTAAAGGAATAGTTTGCCCAAAAATAAAAAATTAGCTGACAACTTACTCATCTTCAGGCCATCCAAGATCTAGATGATTTTCTTTCTTCATCTGAAAAGATTTGGAGAAATTTAGCACTACATCACTTGCTCGCCAATGGATCCTCTGCAGTGAATGGGTGCCGTCAGAATGAGAGTCCAAACAGCTGATAAAAACATCACAATAATCCACACCAGTCCAGTCCATCAGGTAATGTCTCGTGAAGCGGAAAGTTGTGTGTTTGTAAAAAACAAATCCATTATTAGGATTAACTTCAAACTGTTCTCTAGTCATAATATTGCTTTCTCCATTGAAAAAGTTGTCTCGTCTGAATCAGGAGAGAAATATGCACAGATCAAGCACCGTTTACATGCAAAAACAGTCTTGGAAAACTGTTCTAAACAAATATGTTGATGCAACAAGGTTGAACTTTTTCACTGGAGGAAGCGTTATTATGGATTATGGACTCATATTTTGGCCAGAAGTGACAGTTGAAAGCTAAAATGTCTTAATGATGGATTTGTTTCTTACTAACACACAGCTTTTCACTTCACAGGATGTTAATTGATGGACTGGAGTGGTGTGGATTCTTTGATGGCCTGAGGTAAATTTTAAGCATATTTTCATTTTTGGGTTAACTATTCCTTTAAGTGTCCAAATAAGATGCTAAGTGGGCCAGACTTTATACTGATAGTCAAACGTCTGTTTTTGTGAGACCAGTGTAACATATGATTTAATTAAGTTCCTCTGAATATTAAGTGCTGGAAAATACTAATGAGGTCTTTTCCCACCAGGCCATCGCTGCTGTAATAATGGTCTGAAAAATTCATAAACATGCGGATTCATTCTTCAGCCACTGGCGTTATTGTTAATGTTTAAGATTATAATAAACCATGACATGGATGTGCTTTGTCTTGGTTTGACCTCAGGGACGTGAAGGCTGGTAATATTCTACTGGGAGAAGATGGATCGGTGCAGATCGCAGGTTTGTGGCTTTGCTTGACTTTGACTTTGACTTTGCTGAAACGTGTAGATTTTCTGAAATGTTTTGATCCTTTTTTTATTGTCTTAGTAAGTTAACAACCAACATCTTGGCATTTAACATCTCCAGAGTTTTTCATGGGGCAGTTAAATACGCGATTGGCTCGACAACAAATCCGCAGCTTGCAAATACGTTCTTCATCTTATTTCACATGCAAAGTGAACATTTACATAGATGTCTTAAAGGAACACTCCACTATTTTTTAAAATAGGCTCATTTTCCAACTCCCCTAGAGTTAAACAGTTGAGTTTTACCGTTTTCTTACATCACTATGTAACTACAGAAGAGTCAAGTTTTAAATAGGAAAAATATAGAAACTCTTTGGTCATTTTTGAGCGAGATGCTAACGGTCTAATCAGATTCAATGATCTATGCTAAGCTACAGCTAAAAGTGCTACCGCCAGACCCAGAGATCGGCTGAATGGATTCGAAAAAGGTAAAACTCAACTGTTTAACTCTAGGGGAGTTGGAAAATGAGCCTATTTTCAAAAATAGTGGAGTGTTCCTTTAAAGAAACTGCAACCAAAAAAACTGCCTGTTTAATTGTAGGAGTAAGATAGCAGGTAAAATGGTCACGAAAAATTTAATTAGTTTAGGGAAAACATAAAAAAGATATATAAAAGATGTATGACTCATAATATATTTTAAAATTCTTTGTTGCTCTTAACTGATTTTGACCAATGCACTCTTAATTCAGTTGCATAATTATTTCAGCTCTTTAAGAAGTTATTTATAGCCATGAGGTAATTAAGCTTTCTTTAGCTGTAAAAATCCTGCTTTAATTAATACTGGTTGTCAATCTAAAAAGCAACATTTATGGGCCTTTAGAGAGATTATATTGCTTTTTAAACCATGGTAATTAGCTTTAATTATGCTAACTATAAAAGCAATAACCTGGCTGTGATTTAATCAGTAAGTAAAGCCACTTTAAGTTTTTAAAAATTTTTTTATTTCTTTCATTGAGGTTAATTATGGTTTGATTATTAACAGATAATATATTCTCCACTTTTGTTCTCTGTTTCATTTTGTTTTATGAATTTGTGTGTTAGAGCCACATAAAGGAGAGCAGAAAAACAGGCCTGAGACACATTGATTGTAGTGTGGAGAAGTGTTAAATTCCTGAAATGAGGCTTTTTCCGTCCCTGGGGGGAAACTGGCTGATCTAGTTCTAGAATATTGATCGGTTTTATGTAAAGGGTTTCCACTAGTGACCTTGGCTCGGCTTTGTTCAGATTGTACTTCACATCAGAGAGTTTTCGATTGAAATGTTTGACAGACAAGTTTTTAAAAAAAAAATTTTTAATCTTATAAAAAGAATGTGTCCAGGTCAAATTTCAACCCCTAAAAAATATATACAATAAGATTTAGCATAACAAAAATAAGGCCTATTTTTAGGACACTTAAGGTTGTGTGCATTGTGAAATAATATTATGAAATTTAATTTAATAAACACATTTTCTTAAATTCTCGTTGAAAAAAAAGTATTTTTTTAAACTTTTTTTAAATTTTTTTAATTGTCACTATTTTCAATTATGATTCTTATTAGGTTCTCATGGACATGCTACATGCTATTGTAAATAATGTATAATATTATAATATTATAATATATATATATATATATATGTATGTATTATATATATATAAAAGGGATTTTGGGGTTAAAAAGGACTTTGTTTTTGATATACTATTTTGTGAGGATTTGTTCACAAAGAGATCTTTTCTGATTATTGAAAGCACAGTAGATGTTTGACACAAATGCAAACAAAGCTGTGAAAGAAAGACACAGTCTGTTCAAAAGGTTGCTCTGTACAAATATCATAGTTCACGTCTAATTGTCATTTTTGGAAAGAAATATTTTCACTGACTTTTATAGACACAACGGTATGTGACAGTAGAAGCAATTTATCAGACTATGTGTCTATCTTTCATTTTCATGCATGTCAAATTAAATATGCATTTAAATATTTGCTTTCCAACTGTCAACCGATTTTGCAGTAGATGTTTGTGCATCAGACGTATGATGAGGTTGTTAATCGTTCTCTTTAGATTTTGGTGTGAGTGCTTTTCTGGCCACTGGTGGAGATGTCACTAGACACAAAGTGAGGAAAACGTTCGTGGGGACCCCGTGCTGGATGGCTCCAGAGGTGATGGAGCAGGTCAGTGTGCTCAGAGAACCTACATTAAACATTTACAAGTGGATCTGTTTCAAATACCAAGTGAGTGGTCTACATAGACTGCATTTTAAATCATTGATAGATGCACACTTAACGTGAAGGTTGTTATAGAAGGTTAGTAAACACTAAGAAACCCTATTTTGACCTAATTCTAAAGCAGCATTGCATGTATCCATAGAAGACACAAGACAATCACATAAAGATCCTGAAACAAACTCATAAATCAAAGAGAGAAATGTTGATTATACTTAATATTCATTCAATATTGAAAAGCGTCATGTACAAAATAGTTCAACCTACACTACAGTTTTTACATATTTTTGAAAGAAGTCTCTTCTGCTTGCTTACCTAGGCTACATTTATTTGATTAAAATACAGTTAAAACAGTAATATTGTGAAATATTATTATAATCTCAGATAACTATTTTTAATTTGAACATATGTGACCCTGGACCACAAAACCAGTCTTAAGTCGCTGGGGTATATTTGTAGCAATAGCCAAAAATATATTGTATGGGTCAAAATTATAGATTTTTCTTTTATGCCAAAAATCATTAGGATATTAAGTAAATATCATGTTCCATGAAGATATTTTGTAAATTTCCTACTGTAAATATATTCAAACTTAATTTTTGATTAGTAATATGCATTGCTAAGAACTTCATTAGGACAACTTTATAGGCGATTTTCTCAATATTTTAATTTTTTTGCATCCTCAGATTCCAAATTTTCAAATAGTTGTATCTATGTTTGAAAAATTGACCCTTATGACTGGTTTTGTGGTCCAGGGCCACATATTTTGAAATGTAATTTATTCATGTGATGAAAAGCTGAATTTTCAGATATCATTGCTCCAGTCTTCAGTGTCCTTCAGAATCCTCCATGATCCTTCAGAAATCATCTAATATGCTGATTTGCTGCTCAGGAAACATTTCTTATTATTATAAATGTTGAAAACAGTTATTTTTAGGATTTTTTGATGAAAAGAACGTTCAAGCCAGCATTTATTTAAAATATAAACCTTTCATAACAATGTTAATGTCGTGTCACACATCAATTTAATCTGTCTTTGCTGAATTCAAGGTGTCAGTTTCTAGCAAAAATAAAAACAAAATTATACTCATCCCAAGTTTAATTTGAATGGACTATTTTACTCAATATTTCTGTGTGCTATTCATTTTTGTGCTTCGAGTATCATGGATTTAGGTCAGCAATATGCTAACTGAATCAATTGCAAAGTTGCTGCCTAAGAAGAAAGACACTCACTAGGTTTTGTAACAGGTTTTGCCAACGTGTTTCTGTCATTTACTGTAAATATAATGGATCTTGGCACCAGGAAAGTGTTCACAGCTAGACGATTTCTAAGAGATCTTCTGATACTATGAATTATTAATAACCATTCAACTGTTCTAGTGCAGATCATAGAGATTGTTTAATAATTGGAATAATCTGCCGTGAAAGAAGCGCTGTTTATGACTGGTGTGGGTCTGTTATAGTCTGTTATTCCATCATCTGATGAACAGTTACAGTAGCATGTCATGTGACCACAGGTGCGGGGTTACGACTTCAAAGCTGACATTTGGAGTTTCGGAATCACTGCCATTGAACTGGCGACAGGCTCTGCGCCGTATCATCGCTACCCCCCTATGAAGGTAAACACGACGACCGTCAGATCATGTGACCATTCATAACCTCTTTTGCATATGGAATTATAACAGTTACACAAAGTAATTCAAGAGTTGGAGATGCATTTTAATTGTCTGTATTGCCGATATTAACTAAATGAATGCAAAGCCTGCACAGCTGAACCGTATCTAATGTGAGCAGCAGGTCATCTAGAATGAAAATGATCAGAATTTATATCTACTTTGATATTGTTCAGGCTTTCTTTCAGAAAATCGGAAAAGGAAATGTTTTGCAGAGTGTCCAGTATATTGATCTGTCATGCCATTCATGCATTCATCTATCTATCTATCTATCCATCCATCCATCTATCCATCTGTCATCTATATATACAATATTTTCTGTCATTCCATTCATGCATCCATCCATTCTTTTATCCTTCCATCCTTCCATCTATCCAGTCATCTATGTTCTGTCACTCCATCCATCTATCCATCTATTATTCTGTCATCCATCCATCCAACCATCCATCCATCCAAACACCCCCCCACCCACCCATCCATCCATCCATCCTTCCACCTATCCACCCATCCATCCAGTCATCCATGTTCTGTCACTCCATCCATCTATCCATCTATTATTGTCATCCATCCATCCACCCACCCATCCATCCATTCACCCACCCACCCATTTGTCATCTATATATACAATATTTTCTGTCATCCATCCATCCATCCATCCATCCAAACACCCACCCACCCATCCATCAATCCATCTGTCATTCTGTCATCCATCCAACCATATATACAATATTTTCTGTCATTCCATTTATGCATCCATCCATTCTTTTATCCTTCCATCCTTGCATCCATCCAGTCATCCATGTTCTGTCACTCCATCCATCCATCTATCCATCCATCCATCCATTTTTTTCTGTCATTCCATTCATCTATCTGTCTGTCTATTGTTTGTTAGTTTAACTACTGTTCATTCTATTGTTCTTTTGTTCTATCTACTTTAAAAAGAAGCACTCAACCTGAATATTTGACAGTAGTGTAACATTGAGTGTCAAATTCCTTTCTGTGATGTCAAACCTGTGATAAACTCTTATATTAATGACATGTGGCAGATGGAATGGGGTGAATGTCACGAAAATAAGCTATATGAAATAAATCCTAGTGTAAGAAAAATATTTTTTACTCATTTTAAATCTAGGTATGACCAAGTTGTTTTTACAAGGTGTCCTTTAGGTCATACAAGACTTACACATGGATATTTATTAAAAGGTGAAGAACCACCATCATGCCTTACTTGCCAAACAAAAATGACTGTGAAGCATATTTTATTAGATTGTACTGTTTTTAATGTAAATAGACAACGGTTTTATTCAGAGGTGTGTTTAACTGATTTATTTAAAAAGTTATCACCTGAATGTATTTTAGAATTTTTGTCTTGTGTAGATTTGAAACGTCTTTTATAACTTTTTGTTAATTGTATACCTTGTTTAATTTATTCTGAGATTGCCATGAAAATAGCCTTGATGCTGGCATGGCGTTAAAAAGTCAATGAATGAATGAATAAATATATAAATAAATCTATCTACTTTATCTATCAATCGCTCTTTCGTTCATTCTATCGTATCTGTTTTCATATCTGAAGTCTTTCTGCTGTTTTGCAGGTTTTAATGCTCACGCTGCAGAACGATCCTCCAACCTTGGAGACTGGGGTTGAGGACAAAGAGATGCTTAAGAAGTATGGGAAATCTTTTAGAAAACTTATATCCTTGTGCCTTCAGAAGGACCCTGCCAAGAGGTAATCTGAATTGACAAACCTGCCTTACTTCTTTACAGAAATGAGTAAATTTGTGTCTGAGAATGCTGAATGGTGTGCAGACTTCAGAACTGTTTCCTTGCATGACCAGAAGCTTCAGCAAAGGCCTTAATGCTAGAAGCAAACATATTGATTCCAATTGTGTTGGGTATATTATTGAATAGCAGTTCATTGTCTGTCCTTCGTTTGCTCGCCATTTGGTCTCTCTAAAGATAAATCGCAGTCAATAAAAGAAATGCCACACAGACAAAGTAGCTCAAATAGATTTTTAAATATTATTTTAGATAGATTGATCTCAAATATTATATTTTATTAAATATAATGCATAATTACAAATGCATAATTTGGAATGTTGGGCTCGAATCAAAAGTGTTTATAAATAGTTTTAATTGTGTGATATATATATATATATACTTTAAAATTATAGAACAATAGCAATATTGATATAAATGGCTAATTATAGATTTCGCTGTACAATAAACTAATGGAACATATATTGTATAGCAGTATTTTATGTTAGATATTATATTAATGTCTATATTTGATAAAATATATAAAATATAAAATATTATATTTTATTTGGAATGGACTTAGTAAAAGTTAATTCAATGTGTCAAATAGATATTATATAATATTAATATTTATATAATATTGATATGAAATAAAATACAGTAATCTAACACACACACACACGCACACATTTATTTATTTATGCATGCTCCAAATTTGAAACAGTGGCCAGTGAAAATGTCGCCAGGTCAAGTAATATCTGAACTACTGGCCAGAACAACAACAAAAAAAATCCTTATTGTTGAGTGTCTTGAAATGTGGAACTGTCTGAAAATATCAGCATCAAGCGCTCTTTCTCATCTCCACAGGCCCACTGCAGCCGAGCTTTTGAAATGTAAATTTTTCCAAAAGGCTAAGGTACGGCAGTATACTCTCCCTCCATACTTCAAATGCTTTAACCAGTGCTTCACAGTGGTCTGTCACTGATATATGCTATGTATTTTCCCCCTCTTGCCTCTGTGTTGTAGAATCGAGAGTACTTGAATGAAAAGCTGCTTAGTAAAGGACCAAATATAAGCCAAAGAGCCAAAAAGGTAACGCTGTCTCATTCTTCCCCACGCGCTTGAGTGTATTTTCTCCCTCAGGCCAGATGAGTCTCTGTGCTCTCATGTTCAGTAAAGTGCTTTCTGTATTGATTAAACAGTGTGGCTGCTTTTGATTGAGGGATCGGAAGCCGTAATGTTTCTCACTGCAGGACACTCACTGAGTGTCTCTCTGATACTGAATGCACTCTAACCTATTACTGTAAGAGCCGTTCATGCATGGACTCTCTGGTGAACTCTGTCCCTCACTCTGTTCACTGTGTTTAGTCTGTCTGTCCATCTAACGTTCTATCTATCATTCTATCTGTCGCTCTGTCTATCATTTTAATATTCTATCTAACATTCTAATGTTCTAACACTCTTATCATTGTAACATTCGTCTGTTCCATCGTTCTATCATTCTATAATTTAATTCTGCCATTCTATCTATCTATCTATCTATCTGTCTGTCTGTCTGTCTATCTATCTATCTATCTATCTATCTATCTTGT